ATTTGATAGTTAGTATTAAGAGAAGATAAAAAGAGAGGTAATTGTCAAAAGAAAAAAAAAAGAGCAAAGAGAAGAAACAAAGAAAACAGTATTTTGAATCAAAATTAAAACAACAACAACAACAACAAAAAACTCACCGAAGGGCATCGAAGTTGCTGGACACTCTGCTCAAATTCCCCATAGCTGGTCGTCTGGCAAACTCTCTGAGTGTAGAAATGTGCACACCAATATCTATGCAGGACTGTTGAGCACACAGAAACGACCACTTCGCAACTTTTGATCGATTTGCGTTCGATTTTTTAAACGTATTTATTTATTTTTAAATTATTTTTTTGACAGACGTGCAAGAAAATTTATTTCCGTAGAAATTATTCGTATTTTTTGCAGTACTTATAGTGCGTATGAGTGCAGCGTAAGATATCTTGAAATAGTTTGCTAAGCGCGTTTGCAAGGTAAGTGTCTTTTCTTTTGATAGTAAAATCACAGCTGAGGTTGCGTGAGAAATTCTCGCAGCTCGCGCGCACCAGTGTATTTATAGGACGAAGATTTTGCAACTCTTCGCTCTCATTGGCTACAAGTGACACACCTGCTTTAGAAACTGACCAATGGTAGAAGTGGATTTATTCCGTGACCTAAATGACGTCTGAGGCCAAGTGAGGTGACCTCCGGGGAAACTCGTGCGAACTGGCACGCAGGCGGTCGAGATGGTTTGGTGAAAAGGATCGCTCATCGACTCCTCGTACGTTGGGGTCAGACGGGGAGATGGAGAGAGAGAGAGAGAGAGAGAGAGAGAGAGAGAGAGAGAGAGAGAGAGAGAGAGAGAGAGAGAGGGGGGTGGGTAAAAAGTTAACAGATGGGGGAAAAAATGTCCAAAATCTTTTTTTTTTTTTACCCACACAGAGCCTCATAATATATAGGCATTTTCAAAGTGAAAGCTTTCCATCAATGGCAAATATCTCGACTTCCATTCAAGATGGGTTTTTCCCCACCGTCAAAAGCAGGAAAAATGTACCAATTTTAAGACGATACCAATTATCTCCAAATGCCAAAATTTGATAAGTGCCTGATTCCACCATGTGACACCTATGTCAATCTGTTTTCCCCTTTTTTTCTTTTCCTTCTTTCTTTCTCAATTTCTGTCTATTTTTCTGTCTTTCCGTGTAACTGTCTTTCCTTTTTCTCTCTTTCAGTCTGTCTCTCTGTCCATTCATTTTTCTTTCTTCAATTCTTTTTCAAAAAGGCATCCCGTTTCTTTTTCTGTCCATACATCCTTGCCTTTCTGAGACACATCTCAGCAGAAGATACAGGACACTCAACACAACATCTCCCAGAGAGAGACAACTTTTCAAAACCAAAAAAACAGACTCTTGCTTTGGTAGTGTTTTACAGCGCTCGCAACTGCATAAGGTCACATGAGCGTGTGTGACACATTAAACATAAGTTAGACAGGAATTAATTTTGAATTTTGCCCAGGTGGCAGCCGAGTCATACTCTGATTTTGGACTACCAAGGGATCTTTATTGTGTCCAACTTACACACAGGACCTTCGAGATTTTAGGCCCTTATCAGAGAAGGCTAGGTGTTTAATCTTGCCTATCCTAAGATCAGGGGTGCGGTTGAAAGACAGCAGTAAGAAGGAGCAAAGGAGTAGCATTAGAAAGGCTGCAGAAAGGGTCAGAAGTCCAGAGAAGGGGGAAAAGGGGGGAGGGGGGGGGGCCCAGAAAGTGGAGACAAAAGCAGCAGACGACAGAACTTGTTTAGAAAAAGACGAAAGGAAGTGAAAGGAGAAAATTTTAGAGAAGAAACTGTGCCATCTCTGTCAGGTTTTGAACCCGGGACCTGTTGAATGAGAGGCGAACACCATAACCTCTAGACCATGAGAGTCCCCAAACAGACTCTACATACGTCACTGGTCAAGATGATGGGCACTGGACAAGTAACCCACCTCCAAATCCTTCACACACACAATAAATTTATACTATTCCAAACAGACCTGCAACAACTGTGTCAGAAATGTTTAGTAAAGGTCTCTCCAACTGACTTATGGGCTTCATTCTCCTTATTATTCGCAGATCCTGTTTTGAAAGTTCACAATTTTTTTCAGCATCAGCAAGTCCGAAGGGGAGCAATACTAGAAGACAGAGGAAACCTATTTTTTCGCACGAAAATGTACTTATGTACTCAGACATGGAAAAACAAACTAAATATGTTTTTTACATTCTGGTTGGCAACCATGAAGATCCAAGCTCACAAAATCAAAAGGGAAAAAGAAAACCCCTTAAAACATATGTGAGGCAGCATGGTGGAATCAGGCTCTCGTCAAAATAATCAAAGTGAAGAAACTTGCATTATCCCGCAGGTTTATGAATTTTTATCAAATTTTTGTTTCTTGGTTCAACACCTTTCATGCCCATTAAAGAACTCATTTCTGGGTTGATTTTTCTAAAAACGTTGATTAAAGGCACAAAAAAAGTCAATTTTCAGTTACCACGGATTCTTCGGCTAAGGAAATAACTAATCTTTGGCGGCCATTTTCTCACTAATTTTACCTCTGAAAACAGGTGACCCCCACCTCCTTCATTCGCAAATATCTCGACTTGTATTCAAGATAAATGGATATTTTTTCAATCCAAAAAAAGACAAGTGAACAAGCTTTAAGATGATACCAATAACTCTACATGCCCAACAACTGACGAGAGCCTGATTCCACCACGATGCCTCACATATTGTGTCACGACGCGGTGGAATCAAGTGCTCATCAATTTTTGGGCATGTGGAGTTATTGGTATCTTCTGAAAACTTATTAATTTGCCTTGCTGTCAATGAAAAAAGTACCCATCTGTCTTGAATAGAAGTCAAGATGCTTGCGGTTGAAGGAGGTGGGATCGCATGGTTTCAGTTGTAAAATTAGTGAGAAAACGGCCCCCAAAGTTTGGTAACTTCAATAGCTTGAGAGTCCTTGAAAACTGAAAAATGACAATTTTTCTGGCTTTAATCAATGTTTTTCAGTAAAAGTCACATGGAAATATGTTTTTATACGAACATGAAAGGTGTTGAGTCAAAAACAAACTTTTGATAAAAATTGCCAAACTGGCAGAAAAAACCCTGTTTCTTCAATTTCATTATTTTGATGAGCGCCGGATTTCATCACGATGCCTCCCATATTGTGCGAGACACTAACCACAATTCTGTTCATCGGTAGCCGAACCGTCCCGACAGTCGTCCTCCCGGTCACACTTCCAGCTGAACGGGATGCACCGTCCCGTCCGGCACGTGAAGGAGTCGCTGCCACATGACCTAAGAGCTGAAAAACAAGTTTTGCTCAGGTAAAGAGAAGCACATTAAACAATAAAGGTCATTTAGTGCTGGGGAAAAAGGTAAGACAGAAACGTGTTTGTTTGAGTAAAAAGAAGCACATCGATACAAGAACGCTCATTTAGTGCTGGGAAAAAGTATGACAGACAGAAACAGTTTTTAGTTTTAGTAAAAGTTTTTTTGGTTTTTGGGGGGATTTTTTTAAATAGTAGAGGGTTTTACGGCGCTCGCAACTGCACAAGGTCACATGAGCGCCAAAGGGTGGGTGTTAACAGAGAAGTCTTTACAGGGAATCAGACTTAGACTGCTCACCTCTCTAGCTTCAACAGCACAAGGTCTGCTTCAACCATCAAGGCATCCCAGAAATAGCAGGTCAAACATACAAAAGAAGTAGAAAGAAATGTCAATAGTAAGGAACAGGAAAGAAAAAGCAGCAGTTCCCTGTTGTAGATCAGGCACAGTTATGAGCGTGACATGAGTCAGCCCATTTACAATTCTACTATGCTTGAACGAGAAATGTTTCCCCTTTGGGAATGGCCTAAAGACACTACAGTCAGTGGCACTGCCCCGGGGGGTGTAAAAGTTTTACTGCACTTGGAACACAATAAGGACATATATAAGTGTCGAAGATGAGAAGTGTTTCAAGAGAGTAACAAACACAAAAAAAAGAAGGAGGGGAGATGAAGACAATAGATGTTTGAAAGGAAAGAAGGAGTAAACCACACCAGAACACACGCTAACCGTTCACAGACAGAAACAAGAGAGGGACAGTATAGAAAGTAAGATCCCCACCACCCGCTGACAACAGAAGTGTGGTGGCATTAGGACCAAAACTCATGTAGCTACAAGCCCTACAAAAATATCTACAAACCTCTCAACAAAACTGGAAGTAGGTCACAGTAGTGTATTATAAAGTAAGCATTTTACTGTTCTTGCAAAAAAAACCCAGGTCATATAAATGCTGAAGATTACAGGCGTTACGAAAGAGATTAAAACACAAAAAAAGAAGGCACCATAGGGATGATGGATGTTTGACAGGAAAGAAAAAGCAAACCACACCAGAGCATCCGCCTGCCACCCACTATAACCTCGTGTTTAGAATCAGTCGTGTGGATACAGATATCTCAATTTACTTTAAGCTGATTGATCATAGGTGTTTGACACCCCCAACCCTACTTCCTCCACACAATTAGATCATTTGGGAGGCGGACTGATATGACCCTGCCTGTCACAGCCAACATGGACTGAACGAAATACAGCATGGGTTCCAAACTTTAGGGCCTAAAAGATCCTAATTTCATTCTAGGGGCTCTGCATTTCGTGCTGTTGGCAGATAACCGTGATCGATGGGATGGACATACAAACATACAGCGTTAAAGACACGGCCAGATATGATGGACCATATCCATGGTGTTATGCGTTAACTTTGCAAGTTGGAGAAAAAGGTCAACTTTTTGTCTGTTCTTTCACCATATATGAGGTCAGTAAGCCAACCCTTAATTAAAAGCAGGAGTCAGCTAGAGCTATAAATAGTATCGATTACTGCAAGCCAACTACAAATGTGTCACGACACAGTGAAATCAGGCACTCGTCAATTTTTGGGCATGTGGAGTTATTGGTATCATCTGAAAGCTCATTCATTTGCCTAGTTTTCAATGAAAAAATACCAATCTATCTTGATTAGAAGTCAAGATATTTCCCATTGAAGGAGGTGGAGTCACCCGGTTTCTGTGATGTAATAAGCGACAAAAAGGCCACCAAAGTTTGGTAACTCCAATAGCTAAAGAGTCCTTGAAAACTAAGAAATGACATATTTTGTGCCTTTACTCAACGTTTTTCAGTAAAATTCACAGGAAAGTATATTCTTATATGGAAATAAAGAGTTGAGCTAAAAAACATAAATTAGATAAAAATTGCTTAACTGGTGGAAAAATGCCTGTTTCTCGGATTTCGTTATTTTGACGAGCACCTGATTTCACCATGATGCCTCACAAATAGCATCAAAGACTGCAGGCTAAATTTCATGTCTTCTTTCACCATTTACCGTAGGCACCAAATACAAAATGGATTAATTTCAACATTAATCCTGCATGTTGTTATCATCATCATCATCATCATCATCATCATCATCATCATCATCATCATCATCATGTCATCATCCTCTAGTTCCAAACAATTTTTCTGTTTTGTATTTTCCTGAAGCATTAGAACTACCACCATGCTGACACATTGTCTACGTAACATACAAACATCTTGCACCAAATCAGGGAGTGTGGGAACAAATAAAATCTGCTCATTGTTTAAAGCAAGGAGTGCTTGGTTCATTTTTTCGTGCATTTCTAAATTTCCAAAGAAACCAGATACATAGTTAGAGCATAACAACAGACCTGACTTCCTTTCCATGACCAAAAGTAGGAGTTTTTCTATGAATCTGCCCGAAAAAATCAGAGTTTGGGGGTGGAGAAAAAGTCTGAGTCTCAAGAACCCCAGTAGAATCAGATTAAATTATGAACCAATTGTGGCAAATAAATGTAAATGGACGCAAATAAAAATGTGTACTTTCCCCTCATTTATGATAAGTTCCGCAAATATAGCAAACACATTTTTGCATTTTACACATCATTAACGACAAGTCACGAATATAGTGCAAATAAACCTCTGTAGTTCCACGCCATTTATGATACGTTTCATACGACTGATGAAAACAATGGCAAAGAAAAAAAAAAGGTTTTTATGCAAATTTGATCAGGGTTCTTCCATAGGCTCAGTGCTTGACAGGTCAGTAACATCATCCATACTCTGCATGTAAGACGCGGACAGTGCAAAAACTTACGGCAGTCAATCTCGTCAGAAAAGTCGCCACAGTCGTCATCACCGTCACATTTCCAGAGCGCCAGCACGCAGTGGCCGTTACGGCATCTCAGGTGATCTGTTGCGCACGTAGTAACTGAGGACAGGAAGGAGGAGCAGCTACTTATGTTTGGTTGAGAAAAAGAGGAATTTAGTCAAGTTTTTCAAGTAAGAGTTTTACGGCACTTCAAAACAATAAGGCACTTCAAAACAATAAGGTCACATAAGTGCCATAGATAAGAGGAGTTACAAGAGAGTAATGATGTTTGATAGGAAAGAAGGAGCAAACTACACCAGACCACCCATTAACCGGCCACAAAGAGGATTTTAATTAACACAATATCAAATCCGGTCTTGCGAGGGTTTTTTTTTTTTTTGTATGTGTTTTACAGTGCTTGCAACTGCATAAGGTTATATAAGCACACCGGACATATTAAACATTTTCAGTTTCATAAGAATTTTGAATTTTGCCCAGGTGGCAGCCAAAGCCTACTCTTATCAATTTTAGCACCATCAAGGGATCTTTAACGTACACAACTTGCACACAGGACCTCAGAGATTTTTTAACCTGTATCCGAGAAGGTCAGGTGTTAGATCTTCCCTACCATAAGATCAGGGATGTGGCTGAAAGACAGCAGGAAGAAAGAGCCAAGGAGTGGCAGTAGAAAGGCTGCAGAAAGAGTCAGGAGCCTATAGGAGGGGGCAAAGGGGAGGGGGGAAGGAGGCAGAAAGTGGAGACAAAAGCAGACAACAGAACATGGGTAAAGAGCAGGAAAAGAGGTGAAAGGATAAAATCTTATAGAGAAAACCGTTATTTTCTGTTGCTGTCAGGTTTCAAACTCAGGACCAATTGAACAAGAGGCAAACACCATAACCTCTTGACCACCCGTTTGCATGTTCCTAATTTTTCTTCAGCCTCAACCAGTCGGTGAGGAGCAATACAAGAAAACAACTGAAAAGTATTTTCTGATACGATAACAGACTTCTGTACTCTGACCCTCAAAAATGTAGTAACCCTGTGAGCCCTGACCTCCTGAGGCTACCATGCCTCTCTGCCTGAGCGCCTGAGCGATATATTACTAGCATTCGTGTGATCGTCAGAATCACATTCCATATCCCACCCATGGTAGTCCTTATCATTAGTAGCCTCTAATTCAGAAAGATCTTCAAAATAATCAATCACCCCTTTAGTAGTAAACACTGTTTTCCGTATGCGTTTTATCTCAGGGGGGGCGGGTGGGATCGGGTCTCACTCACTGGTGTACCAATGGCTAGGGGTCAAAGGATTAAGTACGTTTTTTACATACAACCTGGCAGCTATGTAGTCCAATGAAA